CGCGCGGGGCCGCCATTTTGTCTGTGGCGGCCTCAGGCTGTGGAGAAGCCGCTGGCGGCCCCGGGTGTGCGGGACGCGGTGCCTGGGCAACGGGGCCTGGCTCGGACCTTACAGCACACGGACTGTGGAAAGTAGAGGTGTTTAGGGAGTTAAATGCGCTTAATCGCCAGGCGATCGTGGAGTCAGGTTGTCTGACCGTGGCTGTGTTCAGTGTAAAAATGAAAATAGCGATTCTCTAATGAGCAGTTGCCAGATGCACTAAGTAATCCATTAAAATATTGATGAATTTATGTTTCCATAATTTTTTAGGGAAATTGATAAAAAGTAAGTTTGCAAAACAGTAGAAATAAATATTTAGGCAAATGATGTGCAGATGGCACATATTTGGGTTTTTAAATACTGTTTTCTTATTGCCACAGTGATGATAAAGAGGTGGTTATCATGGTACAGATTTTAACATGTAACACTTAAAACTCACTGGGATTTACTGTATTTAGTGTTGTGAGTTCATAAGTGGTGTGTTTAATTCCCTATTCTATTGGGGCTTTTGCATTTGTGGCTTTTTTTAATATATCAGCTCTTAAAGTGTGTACGGGGAAAATGCAATTTGGGCTCTTTGAGGTAAGGAATACATTTTGGCTGTGCTGTCACCTGTTAATTGTTACAGTTGAATCCAGAATTTTTCTTACCTAATACAATTGTCAGGTGATTGTACAGTTGGAGTGTTGTCTTCTGTGTGAGAGATGCAGAATGTAACCAGTTTTGTCCCTCAGGAGTTTTTTTGCTGCAAAAATGAGTTCTCTTGGGGGCTGTAGTGACTGTGTTGGTTCCTTGCTTACTAGAGGTAGGGTTTGTTCAGGTTATTACTCTAGGGTAGTACTCCCAGTGGGAGAGATGTGTACTAGATTCTCTTAAACAGATAACAGCCTCAGGTTTTCTTCTGCCCAAAGTGTGTGTGTTTTAGTACATTTGGAAAGGACTTGTATCTTCTCTAAAACTAAAATTGTGTGAACTAAGCTGGATTTATTGTCTTTAAGATATCCACAATAATAACGTTAATCCATTATTAGAATTAGTAGCAGTAACTCTTAGGTAGCTCAAGAAGCATCAGATAATCTTATTGGAGAAGTTAGTGACAATGCTATGTGGCTGCTTTTCAGCTATTATCTTCACAGTTAGGGTTGACTTTGTAAGACACTATTATTTTGTTTTGAAAAGAGTTTGCAATAAAATAGTTTCATGGTTCACAAGTGTAAGCATGCTGGAAGTTAGAAAAGGCAGGCTTCACCAAATAGTGGTTTCCATGATATCCCATTGTGTTATGTTCTTTTACTGTGGCAAGAACAATCTGGTTGGTCTTCTGCAGAGGGAATTGCTGTTCAGACCGCCGTGTGCCGTGTTTGTAGGCCAAGAGGGTGTTGAATTAAAATACCAGTCTTAAATACCTGTTCTCATGAGGTGTATGGAACTTGTTGATTCATGTGGTGGAATTATAGGTGTTTGGCACTTGGAAAATGAACCAGAGGCTGTTGCAGAGAATAGAGTTGTGTAGATGTGCGTGAGAGCACAGCTTGAGTTTAAAATGTCCATTCTATATAGGCTTAAAATAAGGTCTAGTAGATAGAAGATACTTTGTGTAATAGAATTCATAACATGAAATTTATGCAGCTGGGTTCTTTGCAGTTGAACCAAGATTGGTGTCCAGTTTGGAAGTGTTTAGCATTGGACTTCAGACCATGGTGTATTCACCAAGTTACTGAATTAAGATCGAGCTTGTGTTTAGACACTGAGCTACATTCTGAATAAAAAATACATGGTTAATGTTCAGTATCTGCTATGCCTTCCAAAAAATTCTGTATGTATTGTCTGTTGAGAATTGTTTCATTTACTGACAAATAATGTGTAAGATTTTGAAAATGTTTTCTTTCAATCAGCAGGCCACTGATCAGATGCAAACAGAATCTTTACCTTCATGTCCCAACACTGTGTCACCGGTGAGGTTAAATAATCTGATCGGTTCTCCAAGGTTTGGAACAGTTACTCCAAATCGTGTCTTTGTTGGAGGAATTGATTTTAAGGTATTCTTCCCTCTTTTTGATGCTAAATTATAGTTTGTAGCCATATAGAAATCAACAGAGGAAAAAAGAAAGACAGAGTCATGTGTATTTGTTTAGTTGGTAAGTCCACTTCAATAGCCAAACCTACAGAAGAGAATAACGCTTTAAGCCTTGATTTGCATAACTGTCCTACAAAGTTGGCTCTACACCTAGCTGCTAGAAGCTTTAGACATACCATTTATTTAGAGTTTTCTTTTTTCAAAGAAGATAGTTTTTGCCATCAGCAAAGCTGATGGCAGAAAAGCATGTGGAAGGTTTTGTTTATGTATACCATTTAGTGTAATTTAATAAACTGTCACAATGTTTCATATGGCCGGTGGAGCAACCGTCAGTGGCTTTTGTTCCTCTAACACTCCTGGTTCACACAAAGGTGTGTGTATTCCTTGCCATAGTAATTTTCTTAAAGGCAAGTTTGTTTTTAAAAGAAATATGTAAGCTTCTCTGGGTATTTTACAGTATGAATCTTAATTCATAGAATGCTTGTGCCTTTGTGTATTCCCTGAAATCTTTAAATAGCAGTGAACACTGGGCCACTCTCACCTTGTTCAGTCGATTTTAACGTTTGTGACAAGGTTAAGGTTTTTTCTCTCTTCCCTCTTTAGATAATGAATTAAGCCATTGACTTTTGCAAAACATGCTTGGTCTGCTTAGCTGTTGCTTTCTTCCCACCAAGAGTATCTTTCCTGCCTTTAATCCTCCTAGTCTGAGACCTTGTGAGTAGTGATTCATTTGAAGAGGAGCAAGAATTGTCAGTTCACACAGACTATTTTGCATAACAAATGCAAGAAATTCCAGAATCTTCTAGTTTATTTAGCTGAGATAATTCAAATAGAGGTGTTCATATTTTAAGATGTACAAGACCTTTCAGTACATTTGGACTTTAATATTAAAGTGGCACAGTACATTTTTGCACCAACAGTAAGCCAATTACTGAAGCTGTATAAAGACCTCTCTTGCTCTCTTCTGCCTTCTCTGCACTTTCAAAAGTTAAAATACTTTTCTGTCTAACATCAATATTTTTATTAATTATCATACTTGCCGTTCATTTTAAAGGGTCTCTTGACTTGGTTCAGTTGCTGATACTTCAAAATTTATTATTAAATTGTATTTTCAACAGTGGTTTAAGCATGTTTGTAATCATAAAGAGGATGAAATTTTTTTGTGGAGGAGAGAAGAAATAGAAGGGATGAAAACTCTATAGCCGTTTTAGTTGCTCTTCCATTTGGTATTGTTCTTTATATCAAATACAACTTTAAATTTCGGATCTAATCCTTATTGGGTTTATGTGTCAGTCTTGAATTGGTTTCTATTGGCAATCTCATGGCAAAAAGTATGGGGTTTTTTGGGGTACTTTTTTTAAGCCAAAGGTCTCATTTAAGTCACTTGGGGTGATGCGAAAGCTATTGACATTATTTTTCTGAAAAAGGGAGACAATTAACGAAAATTTACTTGCTTTCTAACAAGCTCTTTTCTGATTTTGCCATTTTGTCTACCACCATGGCAGTGATTCCTGTTTGTAAGAGGAAATGCCTCTCAAATTTAGAGAAGCAATTCAGTAAGGGAAGTTACAGTTGGGAACATTTTCATCTTGGTCTGAAGAGCTCTTTCTTTAGTGGTGCAGGCCATGTGTCATTGGCATAAGCTAATGATAAGCCTTTACCTTCCTTAAAAAAGTCTGACAAGTGCCTTTGTCTTATCATAAGCAGGAAAAGGCAAGTCCTGAATGTGTTTCTCGTAAGTTTCTAAATACCATGTTTGCACAGATGCTTGCAGATTTCACTGTGATCTTAGAACAGCATTTCCTTCTTATTCCCCATCTGCACATAAACCTTTTTCTTTCCCAATTCATAGACTCATGTAGCAAGCCCTTATGTCCTTGGGTAATACTTAGAGCACTGATCAATTTCAGACTTGGATGAGGTACATAAACCTTTCATGTGCTGGAGAGGATTCCCTGAATTGTATACAAATAATCAAAGTCATTCACTTAGAAGTAAAACAGTACTTGATATACTTTAAATTAAGGAGAAGTATAGATGAATGATGCATGCACATAACCATGCTTCTCACAGTGTTAGGTGTAGCATTAACTAAGGGCTACATAGAACAAAACTTAAAATTCAAACGAGGTGCTTACAGCATCATGTGTGATATATACTTACATTGTAAAAAAAGATTGATAGAAGACAGAGGAGTGTTCACAAAGCTTAGGTGAGTCTTTATATTAGCAAGTTATTTTATTCCCTGCATGCTTGGAAGGGGGCAGATCCTTACAAGTTGACTTAGACCATTCTAATTTCTCCATTGAAATAACATTTTCTTACTTACAGTGGGGAGTTCCTGTAGTGCACCTGTACCTATTTGCAGACTCTTATGTTAATACCACTTCAGAAGGAAGGATCCCGGTATATGCAATGGATTTGACCACTAAATCTCTGCAGTTTAGGGTTTTGGTTTTTTTTGTTTATGTGACCTGTGTATATCTGTATGCTCTGCCATATTGCAGTTGAAAGTTGAAAGGTGGTGATTTTTCATACTGTAAACTGCTCTAGCATGTAATTAACAGAAATTAAAATTCAGATCTAGTACACCTGCTTCAGTGATCTTAACTGTAAAAGGACAGTTGTTACATAAATCTGCTAATGAGAAGTTTCTAGAATTATTGCTTAATAATTAATGCAGTAGTTAAATGGGCCCTGAGGCTCATACTTGCTCATTCTTCTGTCTTGATATGCAGAGTTATAATTTGTAGCAAACTTCATCCAATGTATGTCCATTAGTAGTTCTATGATAAACATGGAGCTAATTAATTGAATAACCATGCAAACCAACTTTTCCTTTTTTTTTTCCCTCTTGATTTACTATACTAGACTAATGAAAATGACCTGAAGAAGTTTTTTGCTCAGTATGGCAGTGTGACAGAAGTGAAGATAATAAATGACAGAGCTGGAGTATCAAAGGGGTTGGTATAGTAGAAGAAGTGTATTGTGAAAATTGAAAACAACAGAAAGCTGACTATAATAAATTGGATTGATTTTTATAGCTCATAATACTTTATCATTGATGTTTTATTATTCTGTGCATGCAAAAAGCTGTTCTTGTTCTTTAATATCTTTATATAAATGTCCCCAATTTGCATAACTAAAACTCATAAGTCATGTTGTTATAAGATGAAGCTGTGTGCAGCTAGGACAAAATCAATAGTTTCCATTTCTTCAGGTTTTCGTAATGACTATTACTTAAGGAGATTATCCTATCAAGTTTATTTAGTTATTAAATATATTTATTCCTATTACTGAAAGCCAGTGTGGAAAGGAGCCTAAAGTTGAGGAAGAGCTGAGATACACCTGAATGTGCTGGAGTAAAATGGCAGTAACAGATTTTTGTGTGAAGATTTTTGGAGCAGCAGCATAGGGGACAAGTCTGATGCTAAATCATGATTACATAAAATGGAGACTGGAAGTCACCAGTAGCAGAAATAACAACAAATATGGAGAAAGATGAAGATTGCACAGTAAAATTATTGCTGTAGCCCAAAGGATGGTGATGTAAATAAGGTACCGAAGTCTGCTGCCAGAGAAGAGGGGAGAGAGGGCTGAAGCAAGAAGGAATGTGCATGAGAGTTCACCTCTAAAGTTCTCTCCTGAGTAGTAAAGACAGTTTTAATGCTGTCAGAGCTGAACATGTGCCAGCAAGTTATGTGCTGAGCTGCAGCTCTTAGCACAGAGAATGCCCTTGCATGACATCAGAGACTTGGTCCTAGATCTGTCACCAAGCCTCTTGCCCTTTTAGTAAATTCCAAGAAATATCTGAGAACTGCAGTGTGTGTGTGTCCCTATAACCCATAATAATTATGCAGTTGTGATTGCCAGCATGCATCTCACAGCAGATAGTGTTGGAAGATAATTACTTTCCATGCTGTTAGGATTTCTATTGCATTCCAAGCAGGCTTCATTGCTTCTACTTCACAAATGATTTTAAAAACTTACAAGTCTGTGATTACATCTATTAGTTTATTGTCCAGTGTACAGAATAAAAAGTCTGTGTAGGTGAAGTCCCAAGCAGGAAAATACTTCGTCGTCTTTGAACTTGGAAATGTTTCCAGGCTTGTTTAGAGAAGACAATACAAGAAAAGTCCATGAATTTGAAAGTACAGCTGGTCAGATTTACTGAACCTTTGTATTTAAGTTAGTATACAAAGGCTCACAAAGTATGATAACCTTTTATGACAAAATCTGATCTGCTGGCAGGAGGGGTAGAGGCTCGTACATTCTGTAATCTGACCCTGAGAAATGAAACATGACCCTAACAAATCACGTGTACAGAAATACACATTTCACATTTCAAAGATTTCAGTAATACTTGAAATTTAGGAACTCGGGTTTAATGGAGTGGGGAAAGGTTCTTGAGTTTTCTTATGTATGTATTCATTCAGATAATTCCTTTGAACTGGCAGTGCCACCAAGATTGCTCTGGGAATGAATTGAGGGGGTTTAGAAAAGCAAGAATTCTGACTGGAAAGCCTGTTTGATTTATTGCAGCAGTTAGAAGAGGTATGGTAAAAGACACAATGTGTCACAAAGTATGAAAATTTCTTCATCCTTGATGTCCACAGAACTCTTTTTAATGCTAATCCCATTAAGAATTATGAGAGAATTCACAAAATATGGCTGCATCACTGGTTTTTCTGAGAACTCAGTTTAAAATAGTGGATTGTGCTTGTGGCAGTGTGGAGCATTTACAGTTGTTCCTGAAGTAGGTGGAGGCTGTAGTATGAATTACAGTGTAATATTAACTTTAAAAAAAATCCCAAGTGTTTCATCTTTGGTCACCACAAGTGAAAGGTTTAGATCAAAATCTTTGTTTAAGAGCAATGTAGGAATTTGGGACATAGGCTGAGTAGCAAGATCACCGTGGTCATTCATGGTGGTATATTGCCACATAATTGAATGTAATAAGGAAGATGCTAGGAGTCCAGTTGTTAATTCAATCTTTATTTCTAGGGGGGGTTTTTTTTACCCATTAATTTACCTTGTAATGTTACTTGTACTGTACATCAAGTAATTATGTGCTGTGTTTGTAATTACAAACTCTAGAGGCTTATCTTCTGTCATTTTTGTTTAGGTATGGCTTTGTTACATTTGAAACCCAAGAAGAGGCACAGAAGATTTTACAAGATGTAAGTGATAGTCCCCATGGTGTTTGTGTTTTCAATGAATTCATTCATTTTGTACTAGGCCTGAGTAATCTTGTCCTGTGTTTGCCAAGTTGCATTTGAAGTTAAATTTGGTCTGATAGTTAATAAAATGGTTTAAAGAGGACTAAGGTAAGATTTATACATTGGTTATTATTTTCTTAGTCTACAGTACATGTAGAATTAGGAGAAATTTATCCTTTACATTCCACTGCTGTCAAGATTTTTGTGTGAAAATTAGTAAGGTGACTGCTGTCATTTATTGTCATCTTTGTTTGTCAGACCTGATTTAATGCTTTTTAGAAACAATTGGGTTCCCTTGAAGCCTTCAGTGATGAAGCTCAAGTAATTGAATTTTTGCTTCTCTTAGCAATGTTACTGTCTTGACATTCCTTGTAGAGCCTCCCTTGAGACATGGTCAGCTCTTCAGTTCATTTGGTTTTGTTTAATTTGTGCTGTTGTATTTTGGTTAGAATGTATTGGAGATATCTGTCAGTCAGGAGTTAGTCATTCATGTGAGGGTATGAAAGTGCAGGGAAAAAAAACCCAAGTAAATGGCATCTGAGGCTTGGCAAATTGCCTTCTCACAATTAGAATGCTGGTTAAAATGTTGTAAATTCCAAGCCTTTGAAGTAAGTGGAGCTAAAAAAGTACACAAGCAGCAACTTCTTGAGTCAGCTGGCTTTTTTGCCCTGGCTTTTTAAAAATTGCTTTATTTTTCTGAGCTAAACACCAGTATTGAGTACCATTTTGTAAATGGTACCATTTTTCCCCTTTTGTAACTGAAAGGCTGTTCCATGTAAAGTCTTACTGAACTCTTACTTTGCCTGCTCTAAGTTCTTTAATTTGGATGTCCTACAATTCTATCACCTTCCTCATCTTCGCACATTTCTACTATCTCATATTCATCTGAAGCTCATATAGTATCTAGGTCTTTCTCCATCTTAAGCTGTTTCTAGGTTTCAATTTATGTATGAAATTAATGGGATTTTGTTTTATACTCTTGATTTTTTTTGTATGAAACTCTGATCTTCCTCTGATTTTTATTTTTTTTTAATTATTATTTTTTGGTCCTATTTTGAGTAATGTCTCCAGAACTTCCTTTTATTTTGTCTATGTGTTAGTATTAAAAACAGACCTTGAGGATTTTCATCAGGTTCCAGACACACATCCTGGGGTCTGGTTTCAGCGTAACTGCTTTCAGTGCTAATGTATCTAAGCTACTAAGTTATTTTTCACTTCTCAGATATGTAGATCAGTGTAGAAAATAATGTCTTCTTTCTTTAATTCTAGGCTAAAAAACTCAACTATAAGGATAAGAAATTGAATATTGGACCAGCAATAAGAAAGCAAGTGCGAAGTCCTAATGCTCGTATGTATTTTAACTTGCATTTGTGTATTGTCAATATTGATAAAAGTTTTTAACCAAGATGTACCTGGTCTGCACTAATGCTGTGTGTGGCATGTGCTCAGAATGGTTTGCAGTGGAAGTAAATGCATGTGAGTGGAAGTGTTGAAATAAATAGATTCATGGTTTCTTGGTTCTTTCATCTCTCAATATATTGTTTCTTTTACTCTATTAGAGACAGTTAACTATCTAGGAACAAACTGAATGGAAATTCAAGTTGTCTGGCAGAACCTTAAATCTAATTTAGTGTGTCCTCACAGGTTCTACAGGATAAAGCAGGCTTTGCTGGTTAGTTGCATTGTTATTCATTGATTTATTTCTGTAACTAAAATCTGGATTGTTGTGTCTTGCTTTCTTTGGTAGAAACCATAAGGAATGGGTGGTTTCAGTCCCCACTCTCTTCTTGAGCTGTTTGTTCTAAGATATTGAATGGATACTATGAAAATGTAGGCTATAAATCACCAACTTTTAAGATGAGATCTGTCGGTTGTCTTCAGTAAGGGCTGCATGTCAGAGGTGTAAAACAGATTTCAAGTGCAGCAGACAATGAAGTGTACTTCAGGACTTTGCTGCATTATTTGTCATATGGTAACTTTTGGAAGAGTTAAGAAAAACCCATCCTTTTGCTCATGTTTGTTCTGAGGCCAGAATACAGAAGAATGTTGGTTTAATTCTGAAGCTTTCTTTAGTTTGTCATGCTCTGTTAGAAGTAGTTCATGTGTACAATAATGCTGTTGGTGCAGACACACTTGATGGAGGACAAGAGGTTTGCCTCTTCCCATCTGTGTGCCTGTCTAAGTATGCCCTTTTCCCTTGTGTGTAAATGTATGGGTTATTATTCGCCACAGGGAATTGCAATACTTGTTCTAACTGTATGGTTTCTTCGCTCTACAAATTATTCAGTATGATCTTTGCTCAGGCATCATCAAGAGATTGCATGCCATTTTCTTGCTGTGCCTCATTTTACTTTCCATCTTTGACTTACACTTTCTCAGTTAGGTTGTCTGACTTGTGGGGCTTCCTTCCTCTGACTCTTATAATGTGTATATTGATAGAAAAGGGGCACATCTCTGTGTTTTAATTGAGACATGAGGCAACAGAGGGGTAAACCAAGTATCTTAAAAAAAAAATTTTTTTGGAGAAAGCTGCTTCATTCTTTTGAGATCTTTATTTGTGGACCTGTTCAACTACCGGTTGTCTCTCATGCCTGGGATAGAGCTGTGATACAAGATCATACTGGCATTCAGACACATCCTAGGGCCTGGTTTCAGTGTCTATGCTCTCATGCTCAGTGTACCTCAGTCACCAGGATGATCAGTCACCTCCTGCAGCTCATCTCATCAATCATCATCAGGGTTCATCAAGCCAGAACACCTGGACTTACAATGTCACTGTAGAGCTGTGGTTCCATTATGTTTCGCAGAATTAAAGAGCTGGACAATATACTGCTGTCCTCTGTGGCCCACACATACAGTGCTTGTCTTTCGTACTGTAAAGAAAAATGATTTTTTAGCTCTTCTGTCATCATAGAATCATTTGTGATAAGAGCTTTGAATGTAACTGGGAGAGACACTTGGTTTGCTTTTCCTCAGCATCAAAATGTATTTTTTTCATCAGTGAATTTGCATTTGATGGAAAGGATTTAGTTTTTCTTTGCCAGAGATTAATTCAACTGCTTAGCACCATCCTAACAAACATCTTAGCCTATCTATGGGTAATACTTCAGGTGTGTTGTTTCCAGATGTCTTCCTTTTCGAGGATATAGTCAAACTCTTACTATCAATGAATGCTCTTGAATGTCTCTGAGACCCTTTTTGATCTTCCACTGAGCATTCTGGTGATCTCTGCAGTGTTCTGTCTGTTCATAAAATGGCACTTCTTGGTGGCTTTTATCTTTGCAAGGCAAGATGAAAAACTAAAACTTACTTGGTGATATTGTTTATATTGTGTTCTTCCTGATTTTTTCTCTACTATGTTACTATTTTGTTACTACTATTCAGCTTCAGTTACAGAATTAATTTTCCCTTTTTTTTTTCTCTCCAGAAATCTCCCCATATTATGTATTGTGTTTAATTATTTATATGGATGTCATCTCCTGCAGCCTTTCCCTTCTAGTTCTGGAGACATCCTGTAGCCATTTGCTTTCATCATTGCATTTGAGAGGGAATTGAGATGCCATTAGACACGCTGCTCCATGTTCTTTCCTTTGAATGTTTTCTTTCTGTGAAGATCAAAAATTATATTCTCTTTTTTTCATGGTGTACACATCTAAGAAAAGTTACTTGTAAATAACTTTTAAAATATATATTCCAGGTTCTGCTGTGACACCACAAACTGGTACAATGTATGCAACTACTGCTGTATCACCAGAAGCTGGTACAATGTACTTGACCACTTCCAGTGGATATCCATATGTTTACCATAATGGAGTGGCTTATTTTCATACATCTGAAGTCTCTCCTGTTCAGCAGCCATGGCCAGTAAGGAATTTATTTTGCTATATATGCTTTTCTATGGAGCAGGATAACTGCAGTGTTTTCAAGTCCCTTCTGTTTCAGTTTCTTCAGCTATGCTAGATGTTTAGATGGCTTCCTTATACTGGGCTGGTTTTGTGTTGTTTTGTTTGTTTTTAAGTAACACTTCATTTTATTTTGCTTCTACAGAGGACTTTTCCTTTGGTGTGACCTATTGAACAGGATAGTTCATATTCAGTCTGGGCCCCAGGAATAACTTTTGCTATATTGAGGTAGTGATGGCCTAGTGCTTTCTAGAAGGGTGTAAGTGAATAGGCCAGAGATTTTTGTTTGACATAAGCCATTAGAGACACTGGATTTGAAGCACATCAAGTGTAGGTTAAAGTTTAGTGAATCATTTTCAGAAGGGAGGGGGTGGTTCAGCATTATAGCTCCAGAGCTGTGTGTAATAGGAGTGACGGTTTACAAAATTGCTGCAATAAGATTTTTAACTTCTTTTCTTTTGAAGTCTCGATCTGTTTCCAGTTCACCTGTGATGGTTGCTCCACCTGTTTATCAGTCTCCTACATACCACTATCAGGTATCTGTTTGAAAATTGATTTTCAGACCATGAGTAATCCTCCAGCCATGCAGTACTATTTGCAGCACTGTCCCAGGTCTGTTTATTCTTGGGAAATAAAAAGACTGTTCATGATAATAGTGTGAAACATTTTAACTTAATTGAAGACTTACTCACTAAAATACAGTTTATTTTGCTTATGTAACTACATGAAAGTTTAATAAATTACAATTTCTTTTGTGTTGCAGGACAACTGGCTTATCAGCTAAGCCAAACTCCTGCTCAGAGTAGGGCTGGTTAGATCAGGTTTCATGGGTACTTGTCCATTTGAGTTTAAAGTAGCTCTAATGATGAAGATTCCACACAACATTTCTGGAGAGCCTCTTCCTTTACTTGATCCTTCTCATTGTATAAGACTTTTCCCTTAAAGCTACAGCATTTTTTAGTGGTCAGGCTTGGGTTCATTGATTCTTGTGCTCTGATCACCTCTGTTGAGAATCTGACTTAAGTATTTTTGAAGTTTATGAAATGGTCAAGTTGGAGCCCGAGTGGAAATAGACAAAACCACGTTCCTGAATAATTCGGGGCTTAATGGAAGTCGTGTTTCCTCTTTTTAGTTGAGAATTAATTACAGATTTGAGAATAATAGTGTTCTATGTGTATTTATTCTTCACCACATTAGTGACATCTTCTTATTCAATTTTAGGCACCAACACAGTGTCTTTCAAGTCAGTGGCAGTGGTCTGTTCCACAGGTAAATACAGTTCATAATTGCAGCATTTTATCATAATTTTTCACCTAGTTCATAGTTTGGTTGGAATTAGTATTAATTGCTGTATTTTAGCAATGTATTTACAACATTTACTGCTATAATGGAAGGCATAAAATAGCATCTGTTGAAACATTAAATATGAATCTGATGTAAAGAAAACATCTTCCCCTCCCCTTCTCTTTAGCAAAACATTTGTATCAAATTACCTAACAAATTCTTCAGAAGCAAGTAAAAACTGCCACATTTTGCCTGATTAAAGAAACGGGTTTTAACTTGCCAATTAACTGATAGTAACTGTGATATTTCATAGGAATAGAGAGTTAGCAGAAATATGTGGACACACACATGGTGAAGTTTGACCCAGGCCCCTGAAGTAGGAAAAGATATTGTTAACTTACTCATTTTGGGGGGACAGTTTATCTGTTTTGTAAAAGAGCAGCTTAATATGGAAATCAAGACACTTGAGGAGCTCAATGTTTGGACCTGTAAGGAGGCCCAAGTCCCTTAAGCTTGAGCTGTTACATTGCAGCCTTGTTACTTTAATAGCAGCCAGCCTTGTCCAGTTCTAGTCTGTTCCACTCTAATAGATCAATCCACTGCTTTGAAATCAGGGTGCTGAATTACAGAGACACTCTAAATATTTTAAAACAAAAAACTTGTTTTGCTAGTGTAACACTGTAGTAAGGGAAAATTTAACTGTAGTATGTTTCTGTGATCTTAAGTCTGAATTTTACAAGTTTTAGGATTTTGCAATGCTCTCTAAAATGTAAATAAAATCTAAAAACCACATAAAATTGAAGGACTTTTTTATTCTACTACCTGACCTTTCTGTCTGTTTCCCTCTCACTTAGTTTCTTTAGGTTATTAAAGATTCATTTAACACTTTATTTTAAAGCTTTATCTTTCATTTATATGCAGCAAAGAAGACTGTAAAATAAGCTCTTTATCCCACTTAAATCATAAAATTTATTAGAATAATGTGTTTTATTTCAGTCTCCTACCTCTTCACCCCCACTCCTGTATCTGCAACCATCTGAAGTCTTCTATCAACCAATAGGAATTAACCAGGAGGGTGGATGTATATCACCACCTCTCCTAATGGAAGCTGCAGTTCCTGAGGTATTTTTAAAAATGCGAAAAAGTGTACTGAAAATTGAAATGCTTATTTGTGACTGGAAAATACTATCTTTTATTTTAAGCACTGGATGTTAGAGCAGTTAGGTCAACTGCTCCGGTAATTATGTTGATGTTAAATAATTTCAGTTGTCCTCAGGTTAGAATTTCTCTTCCTGTCTAGGAGAATGCTTTGATTCTGAAATACTTTTGAGAGTCACAAATGTATTTCAGACAGCAATATAAGGATTTGTCAATTGGTTTTGGTTGCAAGTAATGTTTAAGTAAAATGGAGTCCATTTTTTGGAATTTGGGTTTAATATCCCTGAACCACAATAGTTTATTGAAATAATTCTTCCATGAGTAGAAGCTTGTTTGTAAATATTCTGATGATCTGAGTTAATTAAGAGTGCTTTATTGTACTTAAAAAATCAATTAATCATTAGAAATGTTACTGATACAGAGTCAAAAAACTGTGAGCAAAAAATACTTCATCATTCAACTGGTCTCTTCATAACTGGATATTAAAGATGATAGTAAATGGCTACAGAAAAACTGAATTACACAGATTTTCAATTTGGTATTAATTGGTACTTCTCAAATAGTCATTCCTCATGAATAAGCCAAAATAGATGCTAAATTAGGACATCTAATACTAGTAAAACTGGTATTTCAGATGTCTGAAGGGGAGAATTCTGACATGCTGAAGTAATTCAATTTCCCTACAAAGATACTGAATGATACAAGGCTTGGGTTATGGGGGGTTTTCTTCCTTTTTCAAAGTGCATAAATCTTGGTATTTACTTTATAGTCATAATCTTAGTACTATTTTACCTTTACTATTTCACGATTTTGATATAAAGCTGTACAGAGATGTGAAAACCATGAGCACTAAGAAAATAGACTAAATTATTTAAGAAATATTTTGATAGTATGTGCTCTCAGTTTACAGATAGGCAATTAATTCATGTTAAGGGAAGCAGTGTGTCAAATTTCAGAAGAATGGTGTAAAATTCCAAGAATAATCTGTATTACTTGTATGTAAATATTTTATAAGTCTGATACTGCTGGGAATTAAATTTTCAATGTACTAGTCTACACATTTAAACACTGTTCCCATTAGAGCTGAGTGAAATGGATTTGTAATAGAGAAGCTGCTACTTCTGTCAAGGAACATGATTTGTGACACTGATTTAAGCTAAATTAAGTTTACTGAACTTTACCAGTCGGTGGGGAAAACATAGATTTAAATATTGAAACCATGTTTTTAAAGAAGTCAGTAATTCAGATAAACATCAAAAATTTGGAGTTTTACAGATTCTAAATTCATATGAAAGTGTTAAAAACTTAACATTGTGAAACAAGCTTTTGTGCTAATAATTTGTGGGGTTTTTTTCATACCAGCTGTATTCTGATCATGGAGTTCAAACACTACATCACCAGCCCTATGTCCAGAGTCACATAGCCATGCCTGCAGCTGTGAGTATCAAACTAAGATAGTTATAGCAAATATGGCAGTATTGCTGTCTCCTTTCTTGAAGCAGTGGCACTAAGACAAGAGGGAATGGATGAAAAAGTCTTTAATTAATGAATTGGGAAATAAGGAAATGGGAAATGTTGGGAGAAAAACAGATTTTTCTTATCTTGAAGTTTTGTTACAGAGCCACAAAGATGTTATTTTGGAGCTATTTGGGGAAACTAGGAAGTCAAAACATGACTAGTTAAGAGTGAGCTACAAAGTAAACCACAAATAAGAACCACTTGGGGAGAAAATGGTGAACCTCATTCAGATCTTTGAAGTGGTGGTTACAAATCCTTGTTTCTTTCTCTGGGTCTTTACATTACATTCATTACTTTGGCTTTAATACAAAGCACCTCATGTTATGGAGATGTGAGATTTTGAAACACAGAGAATGAAAAGCTGTCCCAGTCAGTCACCTCTGGGTGTTGTCCTGTGTAGTTCTGATTTAGGAAGGCCATATGAATATTATTCTGTGTCACCTGATGCAAGCTGTTGGATTTTTTTTGGTTCCCAGTTTAAAGTACTCTTGCTTAAATTAATGAGGCTGTTCATACCATACATGAAATAATGTCAAGACTGATTTCCCTGATGACAGAGATCTGAAGTTGTCAGTAATTACACTTGATATTACAGCATTTACTCTTCTGTGAAAGGTGCTACTCAGCTGCAAGTGGTAAACTAAACATAAGTGAATAAAAGCCATGTTATAAGCTCTCTTATCCACATATTTTAAATTTATTTTACTTTTCTTAGTATTTTTCCAGACTATTGTAAAACAGCATGAACTAGCTCTTTCCAGCAGGGGGAGGTGTAACCCAAGTGTTTTCTTGGCATGAAGTGCCCTGTATTTCTTGTTCATCCTTTCCTGTTTTCTCAGAAGCCTTGTTATCTAGAATTGAAACCCTGCTCTGTTCAGGTCTTGAGTAGATTCACAGATACTGAAACCTTTCCAAAGGCTTACTGAATTCTGATAATTTTATTTGTTACAGCTTGATGCTGAATGCTCTTTGGGTTTTATTTATTTAGTTAGCTTCATTTACTATTAATTAGTAGTTCTAAAATATAGCTCTCCCTTTTAAATTTTCATATTACCTTTTCACACACCAACTTGGAGTTTGAATGTTTCCCAGGTAATGGATATGATCAGCTTGTATTGTGTCTGTCAGTGTGGCTGAGCTCTCATCAATGATTGAAAAAGGCAAATGTTGTCAGCACTCTGCTATGTGTTAGGCAAATGGTTGTGGTATTAGCACCTGCTCCCCAGCTGCACAAGGCGACTGCCTGGTGACTGTAGTCTTCTTAAAATACCCCAACAAATATATCTGCTGCTTGAAAACTGCCAAGTAGTGGCCACGTAAGAAAAAGCAGGTGCCTGAAGTAATGACTATACCTTGGAGGAAATCTACTAATTGCCTCCACTGCACTGTGTATTCCCAGTGCAATTCCTGGGCTTTGTCCGAGGAGCTGTAAGTCAGGTGGTGAGAGCAGGATGTTACAGCTGGTATCCAGATCTTTTTGATAGTCAAAGACTTCTTACAGATTTCGAACGCAGCTCACAGCACATCATTCTCTGTTCTACCATCAGTAGAACCACTAGTAGCTATTGAGTTAGATCAACAAAATGCTATTTTTTAGTACAAAGTTTTTAATAGTGCTAAATGAAAATTAAAAGACAACATTCTCCAACTTCCAACTGTAAATTATTTTGAGATCCAAATTTGGTATTTAAGATCAAGTTTGAATCAAAAATGCTAATCCCCTCCCTGTGATCATGTGTTTGCTAATGAGGTTGAATATATTTACTTTAAGCTTAATTCTTTTGGCAATTAATAGAATGTCCTGTTTGTGAGCATGTGGAAGTGACTTCAGCTATTTACATTTATACAAATGGATAAGTTGAACATTCATTCTCAAAGGCCGCCAGGTGACACATTTTGTTTTTTAGTAAGTGAGAAGATTTCTCATCTCTACTGTATGTTTCAGATCCTATATAATCTCCTAATATGGAGATTAGTGTTTGGATGCTTCCAAAGGGATATGTTAAATAGTGTCTGGTAGTAGAAGTTACCTGAGCTACAGTAACAGTGGAAACTTAAGAGAGGATTGGAATTTTATTTCAGGCCCAGGACAAATATCTGTGAATTAAGTTTTGGTTTTGCTAAGTAGTTATCTTAAGTTCTGAGGCATTGGCCTGGTAAATGTTTGCTGTTTATTTTATGTGTATATGAGGGAGACCCCTGAGGACTGAGGAGCTATGCACACAATTGCAGTCTGCAGAGAGTGAGCAAGGTGTAAATGGTTCTGGCACATAGACAGAGTGGGTGGGTCAGGGTTGTTTTACTTCATGCTTTTAGCTTTTTTTTTTTCCTTATTATCTACCTTTTTGAGCTGCACTGTCCCCTTTGGGGGTAGGCATGGCTCTAGTCTGTCACATTTACTGTTTTTCCCATAGTTTGTGTCAAGCAGTATTTTTGGGTGGCATCAACAGTACCAGACAATAAAGTGTCATTTGTCCTATAGTGCCTGGATATTTGTGTTCAGATCATAATGGTGCATGATGGCCTTTGGGTTGTGAGTATTCTGTAAATTTAACTGAACATAGCACACTGTCTTTCTTTGCAGTTAAGAGTAATCAGGAAAGATTTACATTCAGTGTGCACAATACGTATAAATAGGTGTGTTTGTAAATGTTTCTGTAGATACACATGCAAGTAGATTGATGTAAATTATGTCTTTTATAAGAGTTCTGGTGTAGTCATTTGGGGAAAAGTTTAGTTATTTTGTACTTGTACAGCATGTTATTGTCTGATATTCCATCTAAAACAACAAAAAATATTGCTGCATATTTTCTTTATAGGTAAGTGAAATTGAAAGAGATTAAGCCTTTTGTTTATAGATATGTTAGTCTAAGAAACATGAATCTAAACTTCTAGTTATATGATTGACAAGAGACTTACCACCAGCCGCAGCTAGGTCTGTTGCCTCTAAAATGGCTGTTTGAAACTCCACTTGCTAATTTAATATTAACATGGAAAGGTACAGGGGGGTGCATGCGTTTTCTCATTGTTACATTCTGTGTTCTCTTTACAAACTTCTCTCTTTTCTGTTAGTTTGCTCTTATTCCAGTTCAGTCGGTTTTGTTCTTTTGCTTTATCTTTACTTGATGATCCTATGGAATGTTCACTGTTAAAGCATTTGGGCCACTTAGTCCAGCTTTACTGATTAATTTTTTTTTTATTTTTTTTTTGTGTGTGCGTCCAGTCCTTCCTGTGTGGCTGAGATCCATCATCAACGTAACAGCTAGCAGCTGCCAGTTGTGGAATTTGGGTCAGTTGTTACATTGCAATTCTTGCTATTTATGAATTAGTGAATAATGAAACATGCTCAGATCTAACACAGTCTGCAGCATCACTTACCTGCTTCCTGCAGTTTGACACTTACTAATAATGCTCTTCATAAAACAAACTCCATATAATCAGTGTCATTCATTCCTGGGATGGTAATGTATATGTAAACTCCATCATCATTTTAGTTTAACTACCTGAATTTTATGTGGGTTTGGATTGTTTTCCTTCAACAAGAATAAAATTTTCAATACTTCTAATGTATGATTTTTTTGTTTGTTTGTTTCTGAAAAGTATTTCAATTCCCTTTTGACAACTTCTTTGCTTTTTTTTCCCTATTTTGTGCAATTTACAGTAGCTTGTGTTTATAGGGCTATACTCTGGCAGGTGCTCAAGCATGCTTTTACTGTGAAAATGCTGCCTATTATTGTTGCTTACATTTTTTTAAAAAACTAAAATTTTGATGAAAAGAGCCACCTAGGGAAGAATATGTGTTTTCAATTCTTAAAATTAGAGTCAATTTCTTACTTGATAGCCTTCAAACAGCTCACTGATTTTAGGAGGGCCTTGCTTTATGTTAGGATGTGACTTCTCATCTGCATATGTGCCTGTATGATTTATCCCCAGCTGTGGCTTTTAAACAAACATTAGAAGCCTACCATTGTAAAACTGGGGATGATTTTCTCAGTAGACAGAGAAGAATGTGTTTGTATCCTATCTATACTAATAGAAGTTAAACAAAAGAAAAAGAGAAATATATTGGGGTTGAAATTCTGTAAAGTTGATATGAAAACTAAAGAGCATGGAACCTTGGAAGTTTTGAAAAGCAGTGTAAAACATGATGGGGAGTTAGTAGATGATGGAAAGAGACTGATATCTTGAGATTATAGTGGGTTGGATGTCCTGTATATACTGCAGCTTGTTGTATTAGGAAACTGTCAGAGCCAGAAGGAGGGCAAAAAGTTTACATTTAATGAAATAAAAAAGAAGTTAGTGCTGAAAAGGCCTGGGGTGAGAAATAAGGTTAGAAAAAAAGGACAGTTTGAGTCTATCATAGTTAAGTAAAGAGTAAAAGAGATGGCCAGTGCACGTTTGGGATGTAGAGCAGCTGAAATAGGGATATAGAAATAGAGAATTTGATCTTTGGAAGAAGAAACAGAATAATACAAGTATCCTAAAATTTGTTTGTGCTATTACCTAAAGTGGTAGCTGTGTTTTCTGCATCTTGCCATCAGCATAATTTGTCATGATTCGTCAGCAGCTAGTGGCATCCACTGACAAATTATGTAAGCACAGTCCATTGACTCTCAGTTTAAAAATAAAACAACTTTCAGTTGTTTAGTTCAGGTTTTATGTACCAGCTACTAAAAACTTAATGTAAACATTATTTTAAGTACCCATAGTAAAGCATTGCTCTAATCTACATTACAGAGAATGCTAAAGTAAAAAAAAAAAAGTTTTTCACTGTACACTTTGTAAAAAGAAATTTTCCCCATCCAATTATAAAGAGGATGCAATTGCTTTAATAACTTGACATACCTTCATAAGACTATATGATCAATGAACAAAACTTGGTTATTTTCTGTACTAAAAGAATTCTGAACTCATTCTAAGATTCCATGCTTGTAAATAAAGGAAGGTATTTCCTACCACTGTGGGCTTCATGAGCTAGGTGCATAATGAAAATCTGTTTTTCCTTCTTGAACCAAGTCTGTCCAGCTTATGCAATAGTGGACTGTAACTATTCATTGAAGCATTATTAATGCAGTAAATGGGACAACTTTGGAATGGAAGAAACAACACAGCATTTTTCCCTCTCTTTAGGAATTGAGGTCGCATTCTGTGAGAAGAAATGTTCTGCATCATTCATCTGTGAGTCTGAAACCTCAGTATGCATGAAGTCGTCAGTTTCATCCTAGAAAAGATTACAGAATGGAAGATGAAATTTTACACTACCTTCTACAGATGCTGTAAAACACTGGGTTTTTAGCTGTGTATTTTGCTAAAATACCTGTCACAGGGGAGGGTATGTTCTTCCTAACTTCTGACATTTCCCTATAGGTTCCCAGTTAAAATACCACCACTTTTTGTCAAGTAATAACATGAAATTTTATAGTTTGGTCAGGTAAAACCACGTGAAATAATAATTTTATCCCTGGACTTCCTTTCTTGATAGAAATCCTGTTACAGGACAAAAAGGTGATTTCTGAAACATAGCCTGCTGTATGTATTCCAGTAACTAACCCAGACTGAAAGCCAGCATACTTCTACTAAAGGGATATTGTCACCTTTAATTTCTGGGCTGCATAAACTTTAAAGATATTTTAGTTACAAAGTTGAAGCCATTTTGCCACATACAGCATTTTTGTACTGTGGATAAAATCTGGTTATTTAAATCTATGTGAATTTCATTTCCATTCCAAAACAATTTGTCTAGCTTAATTCTTCTTGCTGTCAGTATTCTCTACTTTTATAAGGTGTTGTACTTGTGTGTCATTTTAGTGTTTGCAGTTACAACTTTTTAAAATAAAATTTGGACCCCTAGTTGAATAATGAATTGTTCTCATCCTAATATTTTTCTCTCATGCATTTGGTTTTATAGTATGTTTTTAGCTATAGAAAAAGGTAAGAATTAACTACTTGAATTAGAAAAAACATTGAAAATTTCTCTTCGCTTCTTTGACATTTTCTGTTGTCTGTATGAAAATAAGGCAGTAACAGAAATTGAGATGAAATACTATTTTTTTTCCTTGATCCAGGAAAATAATTTTGTTTTTTGGTAGTGGTGGGTTGTTTGTTTTTTGGTTTTTGTTTCTCCCCTCACCTCCTAGGGTTCCTTCTATTCATTACAAAAGTCAGATTCCCCAAAGGTTGAAAATGCAGCCTCTCTATTAACAGGAGTGCATGGTATGGGTTATTGCTTCTTTTGCACTGAAAACTTTATTTTTTAATATCTAAAATAACCTTGAGCTGTTCAATTTTATTTGTTTTGTAGTAATTTGGGGGTTTTCTTTCTGTGTGGATTTGTTTTGTTGGTGCCTTTTACCTTTTAATCATTCAGAGATCTTGCCAGGTGAACACTGTAGTCAGTGACTATTCCATGTATGATATGTAAATCTCTTTAAAGATTTTTCTAATGTTCAATAGTGCTATATGTGTTGTCCAGGAAGAGAGTTGGAGTCCGGTTATGGTTTTATGCTGTAATGAAATCGTTAGGAAGGGAGATGCCATGTACTAGGTTTTGGTTGCAAGTTTCCTCAAGTGACTTTCATTCTTCAAGCACCTTCTACTAGGTAGAAAAATCTACATAAATATAATTTTAATAGCTTCACTTTTTAACAATTTATTGCTATAGCAGCTGTAGTTGATTGTTTTACCAGTAAGTACCAAAAGAAGTATACAATTTTTTGGAGACATTTTGAGCTCAGTCTGTTTATGAAGGGGGAAATAGTAATTTGTTTTAAGTTCTCATGTTTCTGAGCAAGTCTGTGTCACTAAATACCTCCGTACAGTTCTGTTTAATTGTCACATTTTAGAGCTGATCAATACAAATATATCATAAAAATATTGGCTCATCAAAGCCGTAGTTCATTTCCATGGAAGAATTTTTACATAGTAAATATTTTTTAATGAAGTTTTATCTCTGAAGGTACCAAAGAAAGAGAGTGTTCTGATGGAGCCTTACTTCTTGTGTCAGGAAACACACATTTGACCCAGGATTCTGGAGATTTAGTCCCAAGCCCTTATTTTGGAATCTGCACTTAGTTTACCAAATGTGGCTTGCCTGTTTTTGATAATGCTTCAGAGATTCAAGAATTAAATTTTATAGTGAGTACTAACTTAAGAGTGCTTAGAGGGAAGTCTCTTGAACTAATTGCTTGAAAGTGTATGAATACTGTGCAGTCACATGTCATCAGATTGTGGCTCTACTCCAGACACTCACAAAATGTAGTTTATTTTCTCTTAATTGGTGCAGATGTTTGATTGTTGATAATGAGTTGATCCCATGGCCTTTGCTTCACAGATCACTCACTGTCTTTTTCCTTGCATGTGAACTTGTTTGTAAGGATATTCAGTGTCAGGCACTTAACTATCCCTGCAGTGTTCCCCTGTGGGGTGTGTAACATCAGTCTGGAGGTACTGTTAGTTAGGATTGTGTCTTCAGGTCTTAACAAAGCTTTGTTTTGATTTGAGAGACTGGGAAGAAACCAAGTAGCTCTGAATATTGGTTTTTCTCCAGGAACTGGCAGTCACTGTTGAAATACTGAGGCCTTTTCATTTATAGTGTAGCTCATCTTTCTTCAGAATGCTTGCCAAGAGTGATGGCATAACATCAGACAGCAGTGACTGAACCAACCTTTCAGGAGTTGAATCGCTCTGTAGGCACCATTGAGACATAACTGACTTACCTTTGTGAATCCCTGTAGTTGAATTAAATATGTGCTAGTTGAATTAAGTATGTGGTGAGGAAGAACTACATTTCCTTAGTGCCTACAGTTGTCTGTTTTCATGTTCTAGAGTTCATGACTTCTTGTTCCTTTACACTGCAGGGTCTTACTCTTATAGTTCAGCTTTTCAGAATGTGGAGATTCCAATGCTGTTAAACAATAATTTAGTAATTTAGTTAACTGCAGATCTAGAGATGAGGATTATGGGGGTTGGAGAAAGGGTCACGTTCTCTTTGGCCTTCTGCAGTTTCCCACTGATAATTGAGGCTCCACACTCATACTTGGAGGGAATGTATCCCCATGTGCCCTGAGGACATGCAGTAACTGATAGACAATCATCTTAATGCATTGGCTGCCACATTCCCATATTAGCAAACTATGTTAATTTTCTGGCTTCCAACCCTTAGAATTTAGAACTGGTTGATATCTTCTGTTTTCTACTGAGCTAGCTGTACCCTGTTTTTAGCAACTGCTGTCTGCTTAATCATACATTTTATTGCAGTAGGTTAGTTCTAGCATTCTCTATTTGATTAACACCAGATAAAGCCCTTAGACAAGCAGAAAGTTACTGATGTTGTCTCTCATGTATTTTTACATTTCTGGTTGTTGTTTTTTTTGTAAAATGTAGAATTTGCTAGTTGACTAGCATTTTTGGTTCCTGCTGCTTCAGATCTTATGCATCAGAAGTCCATTTATTATCCCTGAAAAACTGTTTACAGTTTTTGTTTTAAATTTGCAATTCTTTATATTCTGAAACTGATTTTCCATAAGAGCTAGTAAGTCATTGAGTAAACTGCATTCCAGTAGTAACTGAGTAGAAACTAGCAGAACACATGGCTCTCTTGAAATGTTTCTCTCTGTCTAACATAGTTATAAAATGTGAAAAGTTGTATGGCTGCAAAATACCTTGGTTTTTTTTGTAAAATGGGTTTGTGCCTTTGTAATGTTGAAGTACTACAGTAGGTTCAGTTCACCTGCTAACTTCCTACATTTCCTATTGAATTAAAAAATGTACAACTTAAATCCTTATTTTAAGGATCCAGAATACAGTGCCATCTGTGCAGTCCTGCACACTAATCCTTATATAGCTGTTATACAAAAAATCCAGATCTAGACCACCCAAGTTTCCTTCTAGAATCCATGGGTTTAGTTGGTGGCTAACATATGGCTGTAGTTGGTGGTTAACATATGGCTGTAGTGTTTGATTCTGTGTTAAAGAGATACAGATGATACATTTGATGCTGCCATGGTAAGTGAGACACTGTGGATGCACAGAGAAAAGTTGAATAAATTGGCAGATCTCATTTTAGAGAACTGTTGACAATTTTAGAAATTAAAATTTTTTGATATTGAAACTGCTTGTAATACAGCAATAATAAACAAACTTCTGTAGTTTTGGGTTTCTACTAAAGTTCTGAGTTGGTAGCTACAAGTTTAATTCCAGCTGGTCTATATTTACTGTTTGGATTGTAACTTATGTTTATTGTAATATCTGAGTTTTAATATGGATTTAGATAAACAGGAAAAAATGAAACTTTGATCATTAAACTATGTTTTAATGACTGCAAAAGCAAACTATTGTTGTCATCTCTGTTCATTATTTTTAGAACATTAAGTTAAAACTTACAGCAGAAAAGCTGGCTTTTCTGCTCAAATTAACATGTTTAACAAGACTGTTACTGTCACATTCACAAAACTCATCCTTCAAAGGAAGAAAATTTAGGCTGAAGGAAAAAAAACCAAATTTCCAAACCTCAGAGTCTTTAGAATGGAACCATGCTTTGTTAGCATCTCTAAATTAAGTCATTCTTGAGAAAAAAGAAAGAAATATCAGGGAATTGGGGTGTGAAAAATATTTGACAACTGAGTTGCAGAATTCTTCTGATGGAAGCTTTTTGCGTTTTCTGTCATTATCCTCTCCCAAGCAAAAACTTTACATTTGTTTTAAGTCATAAAACAAAGGAAGTAAGCCTGAAAAAAAAGATTCAAAGAGGGACTGAAGTTCAAAATTGTTGCAATTTGAGGTTTTTAATATTTAGGGGGTTTTAAATGTTTTATTTCTGAGTTCTCAACTACCTCAGCTACCCTTGGGGTCCAAAAAAATCTGACAAATTAATCTTGTATTTGTAATATGCTGTCTTTTATCTTACTAATGTCTGTGTCCTCTGTTTACATTTTGTCAGTGATGACTGATCTATAGCCAATAATAATTCTGATTTCTTTAATTCATTTTCAGTATATCCTTTATAAGCCTGCACACATTCTAGCCTGAATAGGAAATGCTCTGTCCAAATATTTTGCATTTTGATTTTGTCAGAGGGAGTTAGCCTTTTCTTTTTCATTGAGTCAGTTTTGGTCCCAGTGAAATCTTTCTTAATAGTTATAATAATAATACTTTAGGTAATTGGTAGAGGTTTAAGGTATTTCTATTTCTGCTGCTCACTGTATCAACCTTGAGAATAGGAATGGATCTTTACTGGTTACAGTACATCTGTGAGAAGGCTATTCACTCACAACTTTTCACTGATGAGCTTACCTGGAATAAATTCACTGATACAAGCTGCCCAGACTAATGGTTTTGTCCTGGTGGTGGCCTAACAGGCTGGAAAACGGGAGATGTTCTTCTTTTGGAATCTTAATCCAGTTCTAAATCATGGGATTGAGCAGGAGTTTTGTCATGGCTGTGATACACCTAAAATTCTATCAAAGTCTGTGATTTATATTTTGAAGTATAAAATTATAATACTGCTTCTTTTGCTTATTTTTCAAGGTAATGTAGTATTAAAGCAGTATGATTTCTGTTGCTTTTAACTCACTAGCCAGTGTCCTAACCAGAAAGAGACAGGGTTGTCTCTAAGATAATATTTGGTGTGGATGCTGGTAAAGCTGACTGAACTGTAGATTCAGTCATTTAGGATCTTCCCTGAGTTTTGGTTTAGATATTGTTCATACAGACAAGGAACATCTTTTGTGTACATGCAATGTTTTTATAATTTTCCTTATATTTCATTATTTTAATCAAGAGGAAACTCTGATCAGGTACCATCTTCCATTCTTTATCTCCTAAGATAATGAGGGAGGGAATGTTTAAAATGTATTATTAAATGGTTTATTCAGGTCGTATTGGGTTTTGGAGGAGTAAATAGTTTTATTCCTGTAAATAGGCTTTGTATTCAGATAGATTTGTCACAGATGTTCCAGACCTCAAGAAGGGTTGTCCTTACAATTCTAAAAGAGAGATTTCATAAAAAAGAGATGCCGGTACCACTTGTTTGGCACCAAGGCCATAGACAGAGCCTGCCCTGGCTGTCATATTGATTGCAGTTAAGCACGGAGTCAAAAATGGGGGACATCTATTTCCAGAGTACAGTTTTAGGCATGGGGTGGTATCTTTTTGTTCAATAAGCCTAGTAATGTAACAAGGCTTACATTGTTACATTAACAATGAAACAATGTTAATGTTACAATTAACATTGTAGTGTTAATTACATTATAATATTTGTAATTGTACATTGCAATCTACAGTTGCAAAAATGCCTCCCACACAAAAGTTTTCAAACCTCCCCCAGACAAGAGGGAACAAAACAGAGAATGAGCAAGTGGAGGAACAACCCCGAGATGTGTGTAGACAGCAAGGCTTATTTGTCTCACAGTCTGGTTAAAGCTGCTGCTTCTCATCCTGTGTTGCCAACAGACAGTCAGTAATCCAGCACAGGACACACATTCCTATTGATGTGCTACTCTTGCTGTCTTTGTATCATTTTTCTATCTAATCAGAATAGGAACTGTTGGGGGATCGTTAAAGCCTTCCATGGAGGCCAAGTTTCATTGGACTCATTGGTCCTTTGTTTGGTTGTCTTTGCCTATTTTAAAGTCTAAAAATTATATCAAGCTTCAATGAAGGACTCACATGCCCTTTCAGAGGGAGTGGTGTAAATACAACATGCTGGTGAATCAGTGTAGTTTTAGGGAAGGACTCACATGCCCTTTCAGAGGGAGTGGTGTAAATACAACATGCTGGTGAATCAGTGTAGTTTTAGGGGTTTACTCCTTCTCTCATACCAGTTCCCAGAGCCTTTGCATTTTGGGTCACTGGGAGTAGATTGTTTTGTAGTTTGTATCCACTTTGCAACAGGAAATTGCAGCTCTTTAAGCAGCTCTTAAGAATCTTGTGATCCTGTGTCTCTCCTGAGTCATTCAAGTGTTTTGATGCAGTTTTGAACTCCTGTGGGGGATGCTGCTCATTCTTGCTAATTCTGTTTTGTTTTCTTTATTTTGGTCTGTGATATTGTGTAAGCCTTGTCATGAAGACTTCAAAATATGTGTTCAAAATGGCCTCACTAAAAATGTAGCTATTTTAAGTTAAAAAAAAATGAAAGAGCAGCCTGCTGACAACTGGAGTAGTGCTGCAGGAAGTTGCTTTACTTGCAGCTATCCTTACTCATGCCATGGCTTCATACAAGCAGTTACAAAGAATCTTAAGGGGTGTGTAGAATGAAGCAGCAGGATTCTCAAGGTTGAGTGGACAGTTTACATGTATGGCTGATATGGCAACAGTTCAGGGATAGTCTTTACTGAAAAAAATAAGTAGGGTTTGGGAGCAATTTCTATGTGAGAAGACTTGTAGGAAGATGAAGAATTTTGCATATTTGATATGTTTTCCTAGGTTATAATCGGGAAGACAACACTTGAGGATTTCCTTTCTGTTTCAGCACCTGGGAGCTTGTTTTAAAGACTGCAATATTAGCAACTTAATTTCTAGGCTCTGCACTAAGTGATTATTAAATTTGTTCCAGAATTATGTGACTTCAGTCTGTAATATGTATTTCAAAGGGTTTGTAGATTTATCATTCCTGGTAGGTTACTTAAATAAAAAAGCAGATCACTTTGCTTGAAGTAGAACAGAAACCCCTGAATAGTCAATGCCTAACTTGGTATTATTTTTTATAGAAAATATAAGTTTTTTAAATAAGGTATATGCATTTCAATGGAAAAAGCAGAACAGCCTTTTGAATTTAAATGTGAAGTTCATACAATCTACAATGGTATTATGAATCTTAGTTTTTTTTCTAGTCAACTCTTAATTTCTTTAGGTGCAGTCTAAAAATAAAAAGGCAAATTTCTAACAGTTCATCCTGGGAGTAGCAGGGCCATAGAAAATAATTCTGTGTTCCTTTTTTTTCCCCCATGCATTTTTGCCCTCTGCATCAGGTATAATAAAGTTACGAGTGACTTGCAATGGTTAATAGAAGAGTAATGAGAGCCCTTAAAATTATAGTGCATTTTTAGGCCCTAAAGAAAAGTTTACATAGAAAGCAGTGTTGAAAGTCTGTGGCTTTACCAGCTAAAGTGAGTTTAACAGAGGAGCAAAGGATTCTGTTTGTTTAATACCTAGGAGTAATGGAAAACAAAATTTTGTAACTTTATTCATATATAGTGTTGAAAAAGTCTTTCCCATATGAAATGAGGAATATTTCAGTGTAATTTTTTTTTTGTGTTTTGCAACACCAGTTACATAGTTAATTTTCATGATGAAGATTCTTACTGATTTTTCTGGGTAAGAAATTACTACATATTTTTACATTGTTACACTGTGTTCATGTGTTGTTTTTTTTTCCTCTGGAAGAAAGTTCCTGTAGAAAGGAAATAGGAGCCAACTCTGAAATCTAAAATAAGGACTAAACAGCTTTTCATTTGCCTTTCTACCCTTTGAGATGCCAGAAGCAATTTCCTCTTGAAGCTGACTTCCTTTCTGGAAGTGATTTTCGTCTCCAACCATGTTGAGGCTCTTTTCTCATTCTTTCATTCTGACTAACTTGCTTTTTTCCTGTCTGACTTTCTACTGCAGTTGGGAACTTCTGGAGGTAAGTAATGACAGACAAGTTTCTAACTTTCTTTTTCAGTTCTTCTTCCCCCCCCCTCCTCGCCCCCCCTTACTCGGTCAGTCTAGAAGGACAAACAAAGCACTATTGGTGTCCTCTGCAAGAGAGCACTGATAGGGGCTGGCTGTAAATTGACGTGGCATGGAAAATCTCTGCTAGTTTGGAGCAGCTCTAATGTTGCTGCGAAATCAAGCCTACTCTTATCCAAGT